AACATAGGTGTGCAGCTGAACGAAACATACACGTCGAACCCCCCCAGACGATTTAAATCCCTGACGAAACATACACGACGAACCACGGCAACGGGTTAACTGAAGTGACCTTAAAAATTAACCAAACTAAACCAAATCAAAATGGCTCAATAAAATGTAATGCAGGTATGCCATATGAAGTATGGATAAAATTGGTGAGGTAGATGGGTGCTGTTACTAGTGGGCAGACAAAAATGACAAGATTTTTTTTTTGGAAAGGTCTTTCTTTTTCAATGCACCTATGGAAAAACAAAGTAAACAATGCTGTCTTTAATCTAATGAACACCGAAAGTGTACATATACACAAATGAAAACTGTTTCCCATCAAATGGTGTAAGATGTATACTTTTGCCTTTCTATATGTCAACAGAGATGAAAAATAATTTGTTAAAATTCTGTATATTTTTACTGGAAGTGTACATATAACTAAGAACAAAATCTAACCGTCAAATGTGTATGATGTGATGTCAAACCAGTGGAAAAGCATTGACAGGAGACGTCCCAGGATCTCTGCTGGCGTGTCTTCATGTGGTGTGCACAATCCAACCAACAACCACACACCATATCGACCAAGTAGTTGGCGTTCTTCTAGTGGAATTGGATCCTCCGTTGTAAGTACATTCAGGAGGGATGCTTTTGAATGAATGTCTGCTGAACCCTTACTTATATCTGAATTCAAGTGTTTTGCTTCTTTCAGGAGACTGCAAACATATACAACATGTTGATATTTAAAGTAATAACAGTGATAGTACAGTAAATGTTCATTATTGTCATATACACCATAACTGCAGCATCAACATCAACAGCATCAGAAGCAACAAAAGCAACAAAACCAATGATTATAATGATGACAACAATAAACTTTATTTAACAATGTTCTTGGCTGATATATAAATTCTGAACAATATGTAAGCCAAAATTGGATGATGAAGTAATTCTTCATATACTTCCTTTTTACACACAGCACTATTTCCAGGAGCACATGCCTGACACAATTCAGAGATTACATGTATATAACCAGATACATTCACTATCAAATTTTATTTTAAACTGACTCTAGTAACAGCACTTTTTTAATGACAGATTTACTATATTGTATCACTGCTACACAATAATCATATTTTATTGTATACACGTATAAATGTTATTTAAATCACATACAAGTCATTTCTCAGCCGTGTTTTTCACTTTTGTTCAGTCATCATCAGGCCTTATTTTACACATAACTATTACCAAGTAAGCTCTATACATATCTGAGAAGTATTTATGGTAACAGCAGTTTGTGGAATAAGTAGGATTTTAAGGTCTGATGATGACGGAGCAGGGTCAAAACGTGTAGTTGAGACATAACTTGTATATTATTTGAATAAAGTCTGTGTACAGCATTAATTGCTGTGTAGCGACAATAAAATACAGCATGCCTGTGGCATAAGCAAAGCCAAAACATCACTTCAAAATACAGATGTGATAAATGTGCTGCCAGGCAACAGCTTTGTAAACACAAATACAGGTAACAATAGAAGGGAAACTGTGTTTTCTGTGCGGTCCACACAGATATTTCATTCAGGAATGAAACTATGGCACATTTTTACTTAAAAAGAATTCCTGTAATTGTGTGAGGATTTTCTCACTGACAGTCATGTTTGTAATGGTCACAGGTATGATTACAACCAAGTTCCCTCTCAAATTCTATATACTATTATACCTGTTGAGCACTGAAGACAAAGAGAAAGAGATAGTGACCATGGTGAGTGGAAGCATTCTGTAAATGGACCCTATATTCTGATATTTCCTGCCATATGTACTTATGTTTCCTGACTGCAATCTTTTATGATACTCTCCATCCAAACTTCTGGACTAGGGAAGTCAAGGAGAGATCTATGGACATTGCACTGTATGATTCGAGATGCTATACCTGACAATCGATTCCACCATGTATGTCTGCACTTCAGCATCCATATCCCAGAGCTGAGGTAAGCTAGTGTGTACAATGTGGTCTCCACCCCGTCGATTATTATGCCTGATATTGTGGCACTGTTGACAATAACGGATTGGATGGTTTCCATTGTAGCTAGCACATTCAGTGGAGAAACAGATTGACACTGCATACTTATCAGAAGCTCGACAGTTCTGGCAATAAAAAAAGCAGTTTGTCAGAACAAGAATTGCATTTCTGCAGTAATATTTCATAATGTTCATTAATTTAGAACTCTGACCAACACATATGCAATAAGGTTCCAAGCTGTGATTTCATGGGAACTGGGTAAGAGGAAAAGCTACTGTTGCATAAATCAAACACTAAACTTCTGAATGCATGACACATACATAGTTGTTACCTGCATGTTAAAATCTGAACATTAAATTAACAACCTACTAAGTGAGGTGGGTTAAGCAGGAGGGCTCCTGACTTGTATTTAACTGGTGTGCTAAAAATAATGTTAAAAAGGTTAGATGTGGGTTGACAAAAACAGGTTCAATTTTAACTTATTCCTTGAAAGTAAGACACAGCAGTATTAACAATAACAAGAATACTAATGGTGATAATAGCCATGGCAAAGATTGTGGCTGTCACTGCCATAGCCGTAACAGCGGCGGCGGCAGCAGTGGCGGTACTACTAGGAGCAAGAGCAGTAGTTTGGCCATAATAACAACTAGCCTATGTTACTTAAAATTTCAATGGCACGTCTATAAATTTACAGTTCATATCTTCAATCTTGTATTAAACTTCACTGTAAAATTAAGAGGATTTGGTTTTGTGAACCACATATTTATTCTTGAATTAAACTTAAATGGACCAACTAGGCTTGAGAGAGAAAAAAACAAAGATGGCTACTTCATAAGACTGAGAAGTCTATACTAATCTATACTGACAGAGAGGACCAGAGTGGTAGAGTGGGTGAGAGATATACTGAAACCACAATTTAATGTTTCTTTGGGTAACAGTGAATTTGAAGGTTAAGCTGAGGGAAATCTAAGTGGAGGAAATATAGCACTGAGATTACTGATTTTGGATCATTAAAACTGAACATTAAATGAGGGAAAACATTAAATCAAGGAACATTAAATGAGGATTCCACTGTAATTAACTTGGCATATGCTGAACAATCCCAACCATCCTCTGAGACCAAAAATTGAAGTGGGTATGATGATTACTATCTTTTGGGATGTGATGCCATGCAGTCTGGTAGAAGTTTACTGATGTTTTGGGAAGAATGTTCTACCCATCAATTTCAGGGTGAAGATGAAGGCAGCATGTTACTCTGAAATGTCAGCAAACATCTACCAGAGTATATGATGTCACATCCCAGAAGACAGTCACCATAACAAAAGCCTCAAACCTCACAATAATAAGGTTATGATTGTTAATTTACATATCCCTTTGTCTGTTCATTTAAGTTTCTCTCCTGTGAATGTCCAGCACTTCAAGAAAACCAAACTAAATACAACAGACTAACCTTGTTTTCACAGGTCATAGACACCTGCTGCATAGGATGTAGAATATCAAAAAACATTTGATTGGGATGTTCACGGTGGATTTCATTAGCACATTCAATACAGAGGTAGAGCGGAGGTGGGCTGTCACTTGCGAATGTGATGGAGATACAGTGGTCATAACATACTTTGGCTGCTTCCGCATTGCCAGCATTTGGGCACATGTCATGCTGACACACAAATGGAACCAAGTCTGACACAGAAAGACAAACATAAGTTATATCTGTAGGAATATGCAGCCATTAAAGAATCTTTAAGGTTTTACTCTATAGACCCTGAAACTTCTTACACCAATGCAGGTTACATCTGACCCTTCAAAGTGGTGCAAAAAATGATAAAAAAAAAGGCTTCATGGATTTGAAAATAATTCTTATGAGTTGCGTACATGATACCTAAGCATGTGTACAAAAAGGTTTAGTCGATTCAATTGCTTTGTTAACAGAAAAAATATTTCCTGCTTTGAATGTAAAAAAATATGTATTTTGTTTATAAATCAATCATGATTCTTTTATCACTATCCATGTTAAGGAGTATATCCATTTTATTTATGGCTTGAACCTGTACTTTCCATTGGTCAATGGTTGATTGGAAATTATCTTGTGATATTAGAGGACACATATTTTCAAACAACAATGTTGCAGGAACTCCACTGATTTGAATGGTTCTCTCCAGTTTCTATACACAACCGTTGAAGTTCATTCCAAACATGGTAATATGATGGATTTAAATCTGGATAATTTGGTGGCCATTGTGTGAATTTACCAAATTCTACTACAGTGTCATCCAACAATTTCAAAAAATAAATAATGAATTTAAAATTGCGTATTTAAAATTCCTCTTCTTCATTTCATGGTATAGGCAACCAACCCCTTTCCAACTTCTGACTTAACACTCAAAATGGAAAATCACAACTTATGCAAGTTCAGTTTAAATCCACACAGTCACTCATTTTTACCTCTTCTGACATAATATTTTGTGTTGTTATGAAGAAAAATTACTCACATTTTATATTGTGAAGCAACCTTTCCAATCAGACCCAATCTTGCATTTAATTAAATACATAAAGAAAAACATATTGTATGACAAAATGATGTAAATGTTGGCTTCCATTTTTGTTCAAAATAAGCCTCAAAGGTTATATCTGCATCATGTTTCATTAGAAATTTTTGTAGACATGTTCATGAACATACACAATAATTCATCACATATCAAATCAAAAATATTTCATGCAGTTGTCATCTCATTAATTTCAATTTTATATAGATATAACTGTCAGGATAATTCAATATTATTAAAAAAAAACTCTATCTTACAAACTTTTCAGAATTCCATACACAACATCCTGCATAAGTGCCAAGTTGGGACCTGAACTATAATCCATTTAAAGGCACAGCTTCAGGTTAAGCTCCAATGGCATGACTGACCTATCATTTTTCACGAAAATCTATTGTGGGAACATGCAATGTATGATTTGCTTTTGGAAGCCAGCCTAGTAACTTAAGATTTATGTGACTAAACACAATGATGACATGGTATTTCAGAGATCACGTATCTTTTCCCCTCCCTTCCTTCCTTCCTGTTAGCAACAAAATAAAAGGAAAGCTCTGATATAGCTAGTGGCAATACATACTACTGAACTTCTGAAGGACCACTCTGCGGTCAAATAAGTTTGGGTTGAATGTTGGCCAGTAGTAAAACAGAAGCTTAGCAGCAGAAGCACGTGCTCCAGAAGTACCATATGCAATCACACAAAGTAAATCCTTCACCACGTTCTTCTTATTGGTCATTAGGCATTCTAAGAGCTGACAGTGATGTGCTGTTGACATGTACAATCATAGCAATGTAACATGCAACAAATATTGGCATTCACTATTCATACATATATATATATATAATGATTTAACATGATATGATCCAATTATCAATATTCAAAAGTTCATTCTTATGTTAACCCATTACCATGATAAAACATTCTCCCAGGTAATGCCATATATCACCAGACTTTCACCAAAATGAAGCAATGCTGTAACTACAGTACATATCAGTGCTGGACAGAAACTTATCCTCCAGATGTCAGTGGGATTTGTGATGGACAAAGTGATGCTGGGGCAGGTTCCCCCACCTCCCGAGTACTTAAGTTTCCCCTGCCAATCCTCATTCCAACAAATTCTCCATAAGCATTATCACCAGCACAAGTACAATAGGATACATGGAAGCCGATGTGCCGAGGGGACCTAATATGGATTCCACCTCACACTATATGAAATCTTAACTATTGTAATCTACTTTAATCTACTGTAAACAATTTAAGTATTGTAACTTTATTCTCTTATTGTAATCAGCCAATGTACAGTAACTGACTTGTCCTATATCATGTAAAAATGATCTATAGAGACGAAATAAATAAATAACATATATGCTTTATCGCCACTCCTTTTCAACTTTGCCTTAGAATATGCAATTAGGAAGGTCCAGGGAAACCAGGTGGGACTGAAAATAAACGGGACACATCAATTGCTGGCCTATGCCGATGATGTGAATCTACTGGATGAAAATGTAGATACCATAAAGAAAATCACACAAGCTATAACTGACACAAGTAAAGAGGTTGGTCTAGAAGTAAACACGGAGAAAACTAAGTATATGTTGAAGAAAGCAGTCTTCTGGGATTTGGCACCATGTATATGTGGTGTTAACCGACATTTCGGAGGAACGTATCGCCTCCATCTTCAGGGTAGAAGAAAAAAATAAGAAATCTGCAAGCAAAGAGGCCGTGAGAACTGGTAAAAGCAGACTGTGTGGAAATATACACAGCTATGTGAGAGCAGAGCGGGTAGGGGGGAAGGGCAAGTATACAAGTGAAAGCAGTAGTGTGGGAGGGGTAGGGGAAGGGAGCTGGGGCAAGCATGGTTTTTGTGTAGGGGAGAGAAAGGCAAGGTTAAATGCTGGGCACTAACCTGTAAGCTGAGGGGGGGGGGGGGGGTGTGGTTG